ACGAAGTTTTAAAACTGCGATGTTTTCTCTTTGCGATGTTTTCTCCCATGATGTTTTGTAGCGCGACGTTTTCGCCTTGCGTTGTTTTCTCCGCGACGTTTTCGTCCGCGATGTTTTTGCCGCGGTGTTATCGGCGGATACCCCTCACATCAATGAGTCTTGATCATAATTTTCAAGAAGGACATGCGAGGAACGAAGGGGACGAACAAAAGTCTCAGATATCGAAAGATCGATAGGTAGCTGTAGCTAAGGCTTTAGAGCGGGAATATAAACAACAGAAGTAAGGTAAAGCATATGTTTGGAACATTTCTTAAGTTTATGAACATCTGCCACGCCTGGGTAGCTTAATAAAGAATCTGCACAAAATTTGTTTCAAATAATGCATGCAAGGGAAAATAAAGTGGAAGAATTGCTAATACAAAAGTGCGAATACTAATTGAATTCACTAAATAAAAATAAAAATAACCAATACAATATAAATTACCAATAAACTAGCCCTCTAAAGGAAAAACTCTGTACAACAGAGGAAGGGGAAAATGTACGAATATTTTAAAAATTTTCAGAAGCTAGAGCTTGTCACATTGTCATATTATTGGGAAAATACGCGAGAAAGTACTGTATTCAATAAACAATAAAACGCAAAGTAACACTACCATTATAGTAAAAGCGGGGAATGATGCAGTATACAGTCTATGCGAAAAATAAATAATGTATGTACAGTTTAATCTTAATCTTTAAGAATCAGGATAAAATCGCACCTATAAAGTCATCGATCACGTTGAAAGGCTGAAGAGGTGATGGTTATGGTGGGTCAGTTATGAGTCATCGGAGGTTAGAGTAATGAAAAGTACAGAAGCTGTAGGGAATTTTTTTCTGCCTTAAAAATTATATTACCCCATGCTTTCGTGGCATAATTGGAAGATCATCGGCTAGCATCGAGAGGTTCGGAATCTGAATCCCGAAGAGGGCATTACTGAGTTTTCCTGTCTTCTGCTTCGAAATAAACCTAATGACTATAAAGCTGCTAGGATGTATCAAAGATGGGAAGAAAGCATCACCCATCGCTGAATGCTTCAGGCCAGGAGCTCACCAAGGGCCGACCCATAAAAGGGCTAAACATTGGTTGTTCAACACAAATTCAAATTCCTGCGAATGGGCTGACTTTGTAAAAGTACTCGCGTTTTTTCCTATGCGTAACGGGAATATGAACTAGTTTCCCTTAGAAAGCTCTCCATGAAGGCATATCTCCCCTTATTCAGATAGCTCTAGAGTGCTTTCATATAATTTAAATAATCTAATCAAATCCTTCAAGATAGGAAGGTCACTCATGTCTAATTACAGCTATATTTGCCACCCTTGATGTCAAGAACGAGGTTTTTTGACTCATGTGAGATGCTTCGGATATAACAATATGCTTGATAGCTTAGACTCAAGCATTTTTCTCCTATATAGTTCTGTAAAACACACGATATCCTTGCACTAAATCGATATATGATTACAAAAATGAATATCATGTTTTTACGCAATCCCCACACGAAATCAACAATGAGCGCTTTTCTCTTCTAGTAAAAGCGAAAATTTTCTTCGGAATTATTTCAGCAGGAAAAGAAAGGTTTCAGTGTAGGTCATCCATTAAAAAAGAAAGGCGCAAAGCGAACCTCTGTGAAATGAGAGATGCTTGTAAATAGGTTATAAGGATCCACATACAAAGCTAGAAAAGCAATGGACTAAGCAAATGTGTATATATTGTTTTAGTGCTTATTGATAGAAATCGTATCAAGAGGCAAGCTAACATTATGGGAATGTTATACAAATCCTGATCCGTGGTGGGGGGGATAGTTTTAAGTTTAGCATAAAATAATACTGAACATGAAACATTGCAAGCTCGAAAATTTTATATACGAACTTTAAGAAATCACTGCATTTCCTTGGGGTGTAACCGGTTGTCACATCGAGATAACAAATCGGAATATCCATCCTTCGAATCCTGGTGAGGGCAGAGTTGATTACTCAGCGCTCTAGTCTCCTAAAATACTAATAAATCTCTTCAACAGTACCTAAATTAGAAAATATATAATTAGACATCACCTGGATTTGCTCGAGTGGATTTCGTGTACTTCTCCAGTTGCTCTTTAAGAGGGTGAGAATATAAGGAAATATTGCACCCCACGTGTGTGCTCTTATTGTGTAAGTGTTTGACACATCAAGTTAGCAACTAGAAGATCCGTGGTTCTGATCTCCGCGAGAACACAGTTGATTTCGAATAGCTCCAGGTTGCGAAAAATTAAATTATTCTCCGCATCTTTCATTTCCGTTTTCAATGCATCGCTATCCATGGTGTTACAGTTTAACGCATACAGTTAGTTCACCGCAGTTTTAAAGAGAACGCGAAATAAAAAATGTCGAATCCGATTATTAATCAGTTATCGAATCAATTATCAGAAATTTTAATCACCAAATTTAGAAAAGATATTCTGTCGTATTTTCGATCTTGACTTTTTTATAGATAAAACGTAAAGAGCTTGTAAAACATAAGGCCGAAAAACCATTGTTAAAGAAAGAATTTTTTTTAACCGTCCCTTTAAACTACTAATTCAGCTTCCTTTTCCGGTAACCAGCCTAATCAAAGCTTCACTTTCCACTTTTCGTTTCCTCTCTGCTTCCTATTTCTGATTAAATGCTTACTGTTGGAATTTGAACAATTTTGCTTAGAAATCAAACCCAAGGAAAATTAATTTCTTTCAACTCGTGCAGTATTAAGGAGTTCCTTAACCTTAATCCATTTTAAAGTGCAGGGGCAATACAAATGAGTAAAATTATTTTCATTTGAAAAAAATATATATAATATATATAAGACTGTATTAAAAATTATAGATAGGGGAACAGAAAGATTAATTATGAAAATGATGAATAATTATGAATATGGAGGAAAGGAAAATATTTTTTCAATTCTTCTATCCATTTCTTTTCTTTTAAATAAATTCATTGTTACTTTTCGTTTCGATATATCTTAGAGTTTCATTTTAATTAATTATTTTTTTCATTTTTAAACTATTGATTTTACCATTCATTTTGATCTAGAATATGTTACCAGTAAAAAATAAAAGAATAGCAAAATATGCTAACGTAGTTGATGGGGAAAAGTTAAATAACTTTTCTGTTAGATTTTGAGCAAAACAACTTTTCTTAGGTTAGATTTTCTTGCTTATATTTATTAAATCTTCATTATTTAGAAGCCTATTAAAATTTACAAATGCTCTTCCAACTGAAGTGATCTTGAACACTGCATTATGAGCACCTTTCCTAATTTTATATAATTGTAATGAATTTTCCGATTCCTTACCGCGTGCCATCGTGGTGCAACTAAAGCATATTCGGTTGGCAGTCTGGAGGTCTGATGTTCGAATCTCGGTGAGGGCACGGCTGATTTTTTCTGTTTTCTGCTTCGATAACACACAGATTCTACACAGTTTCTTTCAATACTGGATACTTGTATATAATATAAAATTGTAAATATAAAATTAAGTATAAATATAAATTATTAAATGTAAATATAATTAAGTTAAATATAAATTTATTAAATGTAAATATAAAATTAAGAAATACCGGAACTCATCTAGCAAGGTCGTCCAACAACCAAGCAGTAAAAACGCTGACCACTAGTAATCCGATCCAAGTTCAAATTCTAGAGAATGTGCTGGCTACATGGGAGTTTTTATGATTTTCCCAATGTGCAAGTGAATACAAGCCAATTTTCCTTAAAAAGTCCTCATATTAGGTAGACAGCCCTAGAGTGCTTTGACATAATCTTAATAATACACTGAGTCTGAGCAAGTTTCACTATATGCTGAGTTGGAATTAAACACTGAGTTAACTTAAACGAAGAAAGACTATCAAGACAGAACTGGAACTCACTGCTTTAAATTCGTTTTGATTCCCAAATTTTGTTTGCTTTTTAAGAGAAGGGTCCTATCCTTGAAATTGATAAAGGTGTAGGGTTTTCCTTATTTTGCATAACAAATTTATTTTAAGTATGATTCCTATTCTGAACTTCTCAACTTCCTCTCACATTCTCTCGCCAGGATGTAAATTTAAAGTTAAGTGAAGTGCTTATTTAAACGGGTGAATCTCGCTAGCCAAGAGCATGTTTCATTGTTGTTTGGCTGTTACGCGACTAAGCCTCTGGGCCATATCGGATTAATCATCACGCCGGTTAGGTTTTTGTGATTCCACCTGTTAAGGGCAACTTAAGCACTATTCATTTTAGGTTTGACTTAAAATATATTCTACGTTTACTTTTCACCGCAAGTTGGACGGTGACTTTCTGTTAACTGTTTTGAATTAAATTTAAAGGGTTATTTTTCACCCTTCTTCCGAGTCGGTAGTTTTCTTCACGCCTGTGCGAGAATTCGCCAGGTCATTTTAGGATCTACTTTGGTTTATGTGGAACAAGAGAGAAAAACATATATAGGTTCCCCTCCCCATAATTTGCACCAATCTAAGTTTGCTTTTCTGCTTAACTTTAGATCCTGCATTTATCATTTAATTCAGTTCATTCTAAATTTATCTGGTTATTTCTTCACATTTGTTACACGAACGTTATTCTCGAATAAATAAATATTTTTCAGCTGAATAAACATGAAAGTTAATTGCTGAAAAATTAATATGATGTTTATTTTCCATCACTGAAGACATTTTTCAAAGAAACGTACCATCAATTAGCTTTATGACCGTCAAAATGAATTCTATGAAAACGGAACCTTATATTAATTATCATAAATCCTCATTGAAAGGTTTATTATTACTTTTACTAAATACTTCAGCTAAAGATAGTGAAAGGGCAGTGTTTTACATTCCGGTACGAGAAACCCCCAGGTGCTTCCTCTTTCTCCGTTTGTTGTCTTTGAGTGACCTGAATTCCTCAAGAAGACCTTCATCAGAAGGCCTTGTATTTCATAGCCATAGACTAAAACTCCACCCTTAACACATCTCGAACTGGTATAATACTAATTAATTCTTTTTTTCTACTTACTCTTTGTAAGTTTAACAGAACAGACAACGACACCAGTGGATTAAGACGTCTGAGACGTCAAAGTGAGTACTATTTCAGATTCCTTTATAAACAAAAGCTAAAAATGGCGCAAATAAATATTTTATAATGCTTTATGTCTTTTTTTTTTTTTTTTTTTTTTTTTTTTTTTTTTTTTACGGTTTTATGAAAGGTGGATGAAACTGTTTGAGTGCATATTCCAGTTAGCAATACCCTCATCAGGATACAATATATGTTTGTTGAATCCAAAATGGATTAAAACCGAACCCTTAATTTGGAACTGTATCTCAGTAACATATGATTGGAAAAAAAGTTTATTTAAGTTTGTTACTTCAAAAAATGATCATTAGTTTTTTCTTACACTTTTCTGAAAGCACTACGAAATTTTTTTGAGTCCATATTCCATAATGCAAAACTATATCCTTAACGGGATGCATATATGTTTGGTGAATCCCACAAATATTTAAAACTGAATATTTGATTTAAAATTATATGCTTAGTAATAAATAGCTGGGATATTGTTTTTATTACTTAAAGTTTAAAAATATCAAGTTAAATTGGTAAATGCCGTATCATCGGGTACCTCATAAATAATTTTGTTATCTTATCATAAAGAACTTAAGATTTAAAAGTGTCATTTATTTTCTTCTTTTTCAGATCATCATCATGATTCTGAAAACTTCTGCGTTGATAATATGTAAGTAATTTCTAAAATTATTTTCTGTGTTTCATTCAAATTGTTAAACTACAGCGCGCAATTTACTAGCCTTGAAGTACTTGATATTTTTGTAACGCAGAACTAGATTTCCGTTTTGTAGTACAAAAGAAAAATATCTTTTTAAGCAAATATTAAGCTTCGAAGACTAACTTCAATGACAAGTGTTGATGAAAATGTACTCTATCTCGAAAATATTTCTGTTATATAAAAACATTCATCGAGGCTGATCAGTAGGCAAACCCGTAAACACTGGTAATTTCTTTCTGAATTGGATTCTCGGGATGAAATGACTTTATTTCACTTATTGTATAGGTTACTGTTAATGGTATTTATGGCTTTATAAGATGGATGCGAAGGCTGCAACGGAATACGAAGGTTTAATGCTTACAGCTCTGATGCTTTTATACAAAATGCTTAAAATAGTTACATCCGTATAATTTGTTATTGTTAAACAGCATGATAGTTTTGCTTCATTACTATTAAAGGTATCTTGAAGCTTATTCAATAATAAAAATGCATGGAAGAACTATCTTCTTAAGGGACTATGCCTCCGTTGAGAGTTTTCGAATTTCGATGGGTTTAAGAAAAATTAGCTCGCATTCACGTTACATATGGGATAAACCAGCGAAGATGCTATTAAGAGAACGAATATTCAGATATTTAAATTTGAAGAGTATTGTTTTACATTAATTCGGATACTTTTTTATATGCAATATCCCAAGTTTCTGTCTTTTGCACAGTACAGTGAATATGACTGGTTGAACTTCCTGTACCGCCATTAGAGGCTTAACAGGGCTTAAAGGAGCTATTTAATTAAAGAAACATTGAGATGTAAAACAAGGCCTAAATCAGGCCTATTAAGCAGTTGAACTACCACCTTACTACCTGAAATAACTTAAAATAGAATAAACAACTAAAATATGAACTTAAGTCTAGGAGCTGGTGAGATTTACCAGCTACACCAACAAAAGCACATTATTACATACTTTGTAAAATATAACACATGTTACTTGCATGCATAAAAATATGTTACATATACAAAGAATTAAAATAACAGAATATCATAAACATTCTAGTTTTTCCTTTAAACAGACAGGGAAATTTTAAACACAATCAATATATAAATTCATTTCATTTACAGACACATATTTTATGAAATTTGACAGTTTCAATTTAGTCACTGTATTTTTACTTAGATCCTTTAGACTTTAGAGTATTAAATTTAGCAATATCTGGAATAAATTTTAGAGCAATATTTTTCATAGAAGAGCATTTAACAACAGGTGCTCATTATCGACATTACTCATGCCACATGGACAGGCACAATTTTTAATCGAAAACCTATTATAATAAAAGGGAAAGTGTCCATGGTTAGTTAAAGCTTGGTTTAGATACTTGTCACTTAGGCATCTTCTCTCACTTACAGTTGAGACTAAATTATAAGTGAATCTTCCTTTAGAATCTGGATCGTTCCACTTTGCTTGCCATAGAGTCAAACTTTTTCTTTTCAACAAGAATTTCAAACTGTCAAAGGAAGTCTTTACTTCAAAATCAATAATTTGATTTTCAGTGGTAGCCTTTGCTAATCTATCTGCTAACTCGTTATCAATGTTGTAGAATCGTTAGGTTAATTGGAAGCAGGAAAGCTGAAAAATATGCAACGCCTTCGCCGGGAATCGAACCACTGACCTCTGAAATACCGGCCCAGCGTGCAGAACCACTTCACCACGAAGGCACGCTAGGGGAGCGGAAGAAATACCTTATGCACTCCCCTTTTAAAAGGGTTTAAGGGGACCTAGTCGCCAAATCCTGGGTGCGGAGAATCATCATCCACAACCCTTTTAGTTTGGGTGCCACTTGTAGAGTCATTAGGTTAATTGGATGCAGGAGAGAAGAAAAATATGCAATGCCTTCGCCGGGCCTCTGGAATACCGGCCCAGCGTGCAGAACCACTACACCATGAAGGCACGCTAGGGAAGCGGAAGAAATATCTTATAATGGCACCAATATGACTCTTCGTCCAAAAGAGTTTAATATCTCTGAAAGCGCTAAGAAAAATGAGCATGTTTTTTATCTGTTTAATTAGGTCGTTACTTGGACAAATATCCGTAACTGAAACCATTGCGCTTTCGCAGTCACTATAGATTTCTACAGGATCTATCGCAGAATTGAAAATAAGCCAATACAAGGCCTCTCGCGGGACGACTAACTCTGCCTGATAGACAGAGGCATTGTCAGAAAGTCTATATTTGTAAACTTAGTTTCTAATATGAGAACACACAAAAGGCTGCATCTACATGACCATTTAATTTAAATCCATCTGTAAAAATCGTGTAGCCTGTCATATTGAGGAGGCCTTTATGCCAATTCAACCTTTTCAACAAAGCTGGATGAATGTCTAAGCCTTTCTCAAAATCTAGTCAAAATCTCTAGCTGAGAAGATCTCACTGAAACAATCGACAGTTTTATTACCAGGTTTAATTTAAAGATAGCATATTCTTTTTCCGCTAAAATATCGATCGGAGGACATCCAGCCAAAATCTGAAGAGCTACTGTGGAAACAGTTCTAAAACACTTAGTAATCCTCAATAAAGCGATTCTTTGAATTTGCAAAATTTTGTTACTCATTCCGACCGTTCCAGTTCACCATGTGCCACATGCATACAAGATCTTTCTCTCAATAGCTCTTTTATATAAACTCTTAAGAACTTTACCTTGGAGATTCATTTTACTAAGTCTATTAAGAATATGGGTGCATTCGATTTTTATTTGATCTAGGTGAGGTATAAAAGTGAGCTTTTCATCGATCGTAATGCCCAAATATTTGATATTCTTAGAACCTCTAATTGGTTGTCCATACAGTTTGCACCTAGGATGTATTGATCTAGTATTAGTTTTGGCAATACCCAAAAGAAAGCTCTTCTTTGGATCAAATTTGAGTTTAACATGGAAAGACCACTTCTCCAATTCTTGAGTGGCGAAACTTAGAGCTTTATCAATAGTATGGCGACCACTTCCCGTGGCCAATAAAAGAAAATCGTCAGCATAAGCTTGTACACTAACATTTTGTGGTAAGGTTATATTTAAAGCTATATTAGCAATAATATTCCACAAAAGTGGACCAGATATTGAGCCTTGGGGACAACCCCTTTGGTAATTTCTGTGATGCCACTTATTACCATCATATAAGGAAACTTTTCTTCCATTCAGAAAATCACATATTAATAAGAAGATATTACTTGGACATTTCATATTTTTTAATTCCTTTAATAAAATTGGCCACCAAACATTGTTGAAAGCGCTCTTTACATCTAAGGACAAAATTGCAATATGTTTACCATTCCTTCTATTTCGAAGGATGTCACAAATTAATTTATCTATAGCCTGGGTAATGCTTTTACCGCGCATAAAACCTAACTGATTTTTATTTAAAAGATTATTTGATAATAAATAATAGTGCAACCATTGTGTCATGAGTTTATCCAGTACCTTGCCCCAGGAAGGCAGTAAGCAAATGGGGCGAAAAGAGCAAGGATTTTCTTTATCCTTTCTTTCTTTGTTGAACAAAACCAAATCAGCCTCTTTCCAACATTCAGGAAAAATCCCCCTCCGAAGACATTCATTCAGAATAGCTACAAAGCACTTTTTATTACATTCCAAGCTTTCTAAAATAATATCCATTGTCAGGCCATCTTTACCAGGAGCTTTCCTTTATTTAACTTTTTTAAGAGTAAATTCCATTTCATCCAAAGTAAAATCATAATCATTTACGGTCTCTGGAGGTATCCTACAATCTGATCTATCTTGATAATGACATGATAGATCACCATAAGGAGTATCACAAGGAAAGTGATATCGTAGGAGGTAATTTACTGTCTCATCTATATTCTTAGTATAAGACCCATCTTGATATTTCAAAGAGGCAATTTGTAAAGCTGGTTTATATTTATTAACAGCAAGAAATGCCAAAAGGTTGATGAATATTCAAAGTGTCACATAGTTGTTCCCAAGCACAATTTTTACTAATGTTGATTTCTCGTTTATATTCAGCTAATTTCTTCTTATATTGAATCTTTAACAAATTTTTCTCTATACGATTGTAACATCTCTGAAATTTTCTTCGGTACAGTCGAGCTTGCCTTCTTAAAACAGCCAGTTTTTCGGACCACCAATGCACCTGTTTACCCAGAGCGTTGCTCTGTTTAAATTTGTTCATCTTCTTATTTTTCTTACAGATATCCACTATTGAGTTAGTAAGATTTTTAATATAAATATTTAAATCAGAAGTATTTTCTAAATTTTCTTTGGAAACTTGATTTATAAAGTTATACAGTTCTGCACGAAAATTTAGCCAATTCAAGTCCCAAATATAGAAACGTTCAAATTTCTTCTCACTAAGTAAGTTGTTTAAAAGTTCAGTCTCAATGTAGCGATGATTGCTACATGATATATCCATAGAAACAGACCAATTCAGGACAAAAAATTGTAAGGTCTATCCAGCTCTCGCCTCTGGCACCAGAAAACGTAGCCGGGCTATCAGGACTATTAAGAACATTCAAATTGTTTATCGAGCAGAATTCAATTACAGCATCACCTTTTGGATCTATTGAGTTATCATAAGGACCCCATAGGGGACTCTTAGCATTGAAATCTCCGCAAATAATTATTTCCGAGTCTTCATGCGAATCACTAATACTGTTAATGTAATATAAATAGTCATTCAAAGCATCATTAGGGGGTAATAAACTGAAACAAAAACTATGTTTCTATTATTAATGATCACTTTGATAGCCACTATATTCGAGGAATCATACAAAAGCATTGTTGGAGAGCTGTCAAACAGAACGATTGCCGCTCGTGGATACAGTGAATATGTCGTCAAAAAGAATAAGTAACTACAGTTTTGCTACAAAACGACTGAGAGGAAATGAGGAAGTTAAGTTTTAGTAAAATTTTAAGATATAAATTTCAAAATGCCT